CAGGCAGCCAGGTGCCTGGACCAACACACAGCACGCAGAGAGTCAGAGATCATCACCATCTTTTTCTTTTCTTTCTTTCTTTTCTTTTTTTTTAAATTATTTTCTCTTTATTTGATTATTCCCTCCGCTTCACTGACGCGGCAGCTAACCAGCCCGTCTGCGGACTCGGTTGCTAGCCCAGACAACGAGCTGTAAGGCGACTTGAGACGCTTTTATTGGCCGCGGGCCCTCAGGCCAGTTCTGGGGGCTGGGGGTGGCGAGTCCCTCTTCTCCCCCAACCTCCGCCCCCACTGCGGTCCTGCTGCCCGACCCCGACCCTGCTTTCCCTGCCGTGATGCTTCCCCAGCATCAGAGACGGGGAGCTCCAGCTGGGGAGGGGATTTTGGCCTCGGTATCCAGGTGTTTTGGGGAAAGGGGGTTGCTGCCTGCCTGACGCTTCCTAAAGCTGCTGGTGAGAGCGGATTTGCAGCCGCCGCGCTGAGCCTCTGGCTGTAATTAGCAGGTCGTTCTTTAGGGCCAAAATGCTTAAACAATCTACAAAGCCTATCTGCGGTCTAATTTACACCACAGAGATTGCACTCATTGCAGCAGTTCCTCTAAATATACATAAATTAGTGAGCTTAGAATCGCACCCCAGTATGTTTTCATTGCTCCCTTTCTCCTCCCTCCGTTGTCTATCACATGAAATTCATTCATTCAAGCTGAGAGGCCCTAATTTGCCATCCCAGCTGTTACATAGCTCTGTCTGTAGAGAGTGTGAGTGCCGTGAGACCTCTCAGAGCAAGATGTGCCTTCAGGAGTGCCACAAGTGACTGGCTCTGATCTCGGCTGTCTTGGCAGAGATCGGTTCAGTGAAGCTCCGACAGCTTAAAACCGGCGATGGTAAGGACTCCTTTACAGTCTTTGAGATGAAACAGGGACAGCACAGAAGACAATCAAGCTCCTATATGAAAGCACCTGTTTTTTTTTTTATTTTATAAGACACTTATGTAGCCTGAAGTGGCTGTAGGTGTTTTTCTTTTGAGGGGGGAGTACTTTTTGGATTCTAGTAAAATAGGATATTTGACACCTAGTGATTTCCGTTACATCTTCCAACCTAAGAGAATATTTTGAGAGTTTCCTCAGCTACAGTGCGTGTTACACAAACATCTAGAGATGAATGAATACTGATTCATGGAAATGCAGAGCTAAGTTTGGAACAGGGAATTTCTGACTAGTTTTAGAAAAGTGCTTTCTTTGCAACTTATTAGCATGCAAATATGGTACGCTATGACATTTTTTAAACCTTGAAACGTCTGGTAGTCTACTACAGTTGAAGTTTTACAATGTGTTGCCAGTATTTGAATTCTGCTCAGAAATTCTTAAAATACTGTAAAGAAAAAAGGTTGTGTGAGCTACTCAGCCTTCAGATAACCAAAGGAAGGTGTGATTGATGTACTATCTGCCAGGTTTTTGTGTTTATGTTGCTTTACAAGTGATACAGATTTGTGGAACTTTCAACACAGTAGTTTCTGGGTGATACATTTCATTAAGTCTCTCCTGGAGGGTGAATTACTATTTCAATTTGAAAATAGTCTGTATAAAATACAAAGTACTAAGTTCCTAAGTTTCCATCTACCAAGGCTTATTAAGCACATAGCAGATTAAGCTGTTTTAATGAACACTGTAATAACAAAATAGCAGTGGAACATATGCTAACCAGGTACCAATTCTTTCTTGCTGCTGCAATTCATCTAAACATAAGAATTATAAACTGTTAGAGTGTAACTTATTTTCAGTGTAAAAGAATGACTGACTTGCATGCTAAGTGTAGGAATGGTAAAGGATTACACCACACAAAGGACTACCTTGCTTGATATTTAAGATTATACTACAGAAATATGTTTTGAATTACTTAATGTTTTTCAGGGATATATTTTGATATACAAAACATTAGGAAACTTCTTAGATGAAGAACATGGCTTTATTACATTTTTACTTGCAACAATCAAAGAAATACATGCTGAATTGATTACAAAACCAATTTGTCGGTGTCTATAGTTTTCCTGTGCTGAACATTTAGTTTGATATGAGGATTAGATTACCTGAGTAGTTTATAGCAAATATTCTAATGCCTTGTCTTTTTATTTGTAAATATGTAGACAGTATTTGCACACTTGTAAAGCATGCACAGAAGTTATGGAAAGTGTCCAAGAAAGCAGTAAAGGTAGTGCAAAATAACAGACTTTATAGGAGGGACTACCAGGCACAAGACTTCTGTTACCACTTTCCTGTGGGTACTTGCCAGCTTGTTGCTGACTGACATTTATATAGTTTTGTTCACACTTTTGCATAATAGTGGGGACATTAAGACTTATTTGCATAAACAATATGCAGACTTTTCACATCTCAAACACTGACAGTGGAGCATTTGTCAGTTTATCAGGCAAAACACAGGAGGATTTTTAACACCCAAACCACATGGAGCTCTTGTTCTGTACATTGTTTAGAGAAAAATGTGAAAGAGTTGCAGATGAAGCGTTCCAAGGTGGTGTGTATTAGATTGTTTCATTGTTCAACTATACATGTGAAATAGAACCGGTAGCATATTGCCATGGCCATCACAGTGAGAGTAGTTGAAATCTCTAAGACTGACTTTATTTACTCATTGGCAGTTCCCTTTGTTCTAAGGAGACATTAGAAGATGTATAAAGTTTTAGAACAATAAGTGGACACAGCAGAACTTACCTGCTCTAAGCTATTGGAGATGAGGGCGATACTAATTTCCCATTAGTGTAATTAGAATTGGTAACTGATACTTTTGTATATCTACAACATAGCTGTCAGGAAGTAAAGTTTCTCTTTACATGACCAACTGGTGTACCCTAGTGAATACAAGTTGTTTTCATTCTCATTATTTGTTACTTCCTTTAAGGCAATGCATTGAATTTCTTACCTGAGTTCCCAAATACACCTTGCTTGATACAGTGCTGTAGAGGAAAACTTCAGTGGAGAAAGCTACAAACAATCTGTAGCTCTCCTCCTTCTTGATATCAGGCATTTTATAAAAAGTTTAAAATTAATTTCTGGTAGACTTCTGACATTTCACCATCACTTTTTTAGAAGATCTTTTACAAGTTTGACTCATATTCTTGTCTTATTTAACGTGACATTATTCTGAAATATTCTCTTTGCCTCCATTTATTAATTCTTTCCTATTCAGTAAAGCACTAACATGTCCATTTAATGGCAAAAAAAAAAAAAAAAAAAAAAAAAAGTTTAAATCACCTAGCATTCCATAGGTCTTAATCAAAAGTAAAGCTGTAGGGAAGTATTTTGCTGAACAGGACTGAGTTTAACCAAGGGTTTTGCTGGATCGCAGATTTAAAATCTGAACCCTTCAGGTGCTGCTCATTGCCTGTGGGGAGCTTGGATACTGCTAACCCAGGCAAAGACAGCCAAAGGTAAAGAAATATCAGTACCCAAGAGCAATCACTTAGCAGCTTTAAGGGTTGCATCCTTAATCATTATTCTAACAATAGATTTTGATTGTAAATAATTTTCTTTTCTATGTTAATTACAGATATATTTTTATAATATGTGCCGTTTTCTCCCCTTTGTTTCACAGTGCAAAATAGTGCCATATGAACATGTTTATCTCACTGAAACTTTTAATCATGAAAATGAGATGAGTAAATTAGCAAGGTTTTTGTTAGTTTGTTTTGTTTTCATTTGGTTTTGGTTTTTTAAGGGCTATTGGTAACCATTGGCAGAATTAGGAGAACCAGTATGGGAATTTCTGAGCAGCGTTCTTGCTTTGCTTGAGGTATTGGCTTCCTGGTCAGTTCTGTAATCCTTTGTGAATCAACCTTATGCTTTTTCTCATTGGAAAGATACTATTTAGTGAAGAAAAATGTTTAGCTTACCAGAGTGTGCTGGTACACTAGATGCATTTCCTGTAAAGACATATTTCCATGAAAGTGAAATATGTAGAAATTAATTTCTGAAAAAATTCTTTGTATGGTTGCCAGTTAATTTGTTTCATAACATTTCAAACATTAATCAGTCTGTTGCAGTGTAGAAGCATTTTGACTTGTTGGTTACCGTGCATGTGAATTGTATCTATAAACTAAATCAATTTCCTCATAAATATGCATACAGAACCAGCAGCCTTAATAGGATGCCAAATTCATCTGTTAAGGGGGCAATCAATGTAACCATGCAGGAAAGCATCATCTTTTTTTTCTTGCTTATGTACAGACACATAGATACACACAGAAGCTTATCCCAAGGAGTACTTTTTATAATCACAAAGCAACTCTCAAGAATAAAGTTTTTCACAACTTTCAGCTAATCAAATACCTTACAGTATAACAACTGTACAAACAATGTTACAGTAGCACTAAGTGCAATGTAGAGAGAGAAAAAAAAGGGAACATTGTCATTAAATATAAATATTTATATTGGTAATTTCTTTCATACTTTTAATACTGTTTGGTGCAGTGTACAGAAGTATATTTCAGTTTTCTGTTCTCAGTTTACATTGTATTAAATACCTTACAATTAGCCTTTGAAAGTGACCCAAATTTGACCTTCAGTAACAAATTATGATGAAAGAGGAGCTAATTAAACATGAAATAGATGGATTGTTGATGCTTTAGTTATCTTTATTTAACACAAAGTGTTCCACTGATAAGTGCAGCCTTTATTTTTTTCCTCTTCAGTAAAATCATCTTGTACAGTACGCAAATGACTAAGTTACCACTGAATCATTCTGCACTCCCAGGAGAGGTACAGAGCCAAAAGGGACAAGATCTGAATAAAGGAGGATTCATGCTCTGAATAAGTAAAGGACTGTACTGTTATAGGCAAGGGATAGCAAGAAGCATCACTAAAAGGATAGAATCTGATTTATCAACTCAG